TTTGTGACCCCATGGCCTGTAGCCCTCCAGTCTCTGTCCATGGCATTCTCCGGGCACGAATACTGCAGTGGGTTGCCATGCCCTCCTCCAGAGGATCTTCCTGACCCAGAGATCAAACCCAGGTCTCCCACATTGCAGACAGATTCTTTACCAGCTGAACCACAAGGGAAGCCCAAGAACACTGAAGTGGGGAGCCGCTCCCTTCTCCAGGGGATCTTCCCAACCCAGGAATTGAACTGGGGTCTCCTGCATTTCAGGTAGATTATTTACCAGCTGAGCTACCAGGAAAGCCATAGTGGAGTATAAGATATAGTTAATGAGCCAAAAGACTTATTAAGATAAACTACTCAAATAGAAGCACAGAGATAAAAAATAGAAAAAAAGTTACACAAAAAGAATTAGAGAATTGTGAATTAGTGAAAAAAATTAACTATGTATGTTATTGGACTTTAGAAGAAAGGAGAGAAAATAGGGGGGAAGTAACATTTAAACAGATAATAATAGTATTTCCAAAACTAAAGCAGGGCATCAACCAATAGATACAAATTCTCTGAAACTCAAAAATAACAAATATATAGAAATTATATCAAGACATAGGAGGCCCACTAAAAAGTGAGAACACAGAAAAATATTAAAAGTAGTCAGGGTAAGAAAGATATATTACCTTTAAATGAGGTGAACAATAAGACTTAATTAGTAGGTAGAAGGAGCTTCCCAGGTGGCAGTGGTGGTAAAGAACCTGTCCGCCAGTGCAAGAGCTACACGAGATGCGGTTCCACCCCTGGGTTGGGCAGATTCCCTGGAGGAGGAAATGGCAAGCCACTCCAGTATTCTTGCCTGGAGAATCCCATGATCAGAGGAGCCTGGAGGGCTACAGTCCATAGGTTGCAGAGTCTGACATGACTGAACTGACTTAGCATACATGCACACTGAGTAGAAATAATGGAAACCAGATGAAAATGTGAATATTCTTAAAGTGCTGAAAGAAAAAAAAAAGTCAATCTGGTATTCTATATCCATAAAAATATCCTTTAAAATGATGATATACAAATGTTTCAGGTAAATAAAAATGGAGGGAATTTGTTGACAGCAAGTCTACACTAATAATAATGACAACAGGAGAAGGAACATGATCCTATATGGAAACAGAACTGTAGAAAGAAGTAAAGAACAATGGAAAGAATAAATATATGGGTATTATAAATGTTGAGAATAAAAATAATGGTAGTATAATGTAGTGTTCTAACTATATATGGGATTGAAATGCATCACAACAGTAACAAAGAGGAGACTGAATGGCTTTTAAAAGTGTTCTAATGTCCCACTGTTTTCAGGGAAGTGGTAAAAGGAATAATTTGTTTTATACTCTAAAAGCCATAAGTTACATATGTATTGTAATCTCTAGGAAAACCAAATAAAAGAAAAGAGAAGAATTGTATAAGTTTAAGTTAATTGAGGGGAAAAACATGACAAAATATTTTATCAATCCTAATAAATCAGAATCAGTGAAACATAAGAACAAACATACATATGCAAAAAATTTCCATATGCAGCATAGAAAATAAATCCAGTTTCTGGTTCTTTGCAAAGAAATTGTTAAATCCCTAGCAAAATTCCTCAAGAAAAAGTGAAAGTTGCTTTGACATTTATAAATTTGTTAATGTAGTAACCCACATGAAGAAAAGTCAAGTAATCATTTCAATAGATTCATAAAAAGTATATGATTAAGTTAAATATTAACATAGTTAAAAAAATACTTTGGCAGAGAAGGCATACATCCTGATAAAGAGTATACAAAAAAAATCTTCAATCATTCTTAATCCTTATAATTTTTAATTATGAAAAATTAGAAGCATTTACTGTATAATAAGGGCCAAAACAATGTGTCTTTTGGCCACTTCTATTCATTATTGAACTGGTGAGCCTATCCAACATGTTTGGAACCTTATAAATAAAAATAGTTAAAGGTTTTAGGACTAAATGAAAGAATCTAAACTGTCGTGACTCGTAGAGGATATGTTTGATTAATGGAAAAACCTATCTAGGAACCAGGCTCCTCCCGAATTTTTGTTTGCTCTTTCGAGCATTACCCTTACTCACAAGACTGGGGGGGCAGGACAGGGATCACCACCACAGGTGGAAGAATGGAGTGCTAAATGACCTTCTAAAGGGAAGTTCCTAAAGGTTGCCCAGATGACTACTCTTCATGGTGTTCTGACTAGAACTTAGTAATTTTTAGATGCAAGGACACTTGAGAAATATGCCCAACTGAAAATCAGGAGTTTTAGAACAGGGAGGAAGCCAGCACAGATAGTGGGAGGAAAGTAGCCATCTTCACCACAGGCTCAGGGAGGCAGGACAGGAAGAGACGTCATCAAGGGTATTGGCATTGTTCTGTTTCTAAAAGTAGGATACTGTATTTAGGTGCTTTTTAAACATTATTTTATACCTCCCTTATAAATTATATACTCTTCTGTATATATGAAATGGTTCATTACTAAAATTAAAACATATAGTGGATAGTTTTCAGGCTTTACTTTGCTTGAATCTTATGCAGCATATGGTATTGTTGATCACTCCCTCTAGACATTTGAATTTTTATTGGCAAGAATCTCCAGGTTTTTCTCTTATTTCTCCATCCATTCCTTTTCAGCCTCCTGGGCTTCACTTTCTCTGCAGGGGAAAAAAGGCCTTTTCCTAGATGCCCCTCACTTGTCTCCATAATTATTTAGGATAGTTTCAAATTGGCTAATGGGTTTCCTGGATTTGGAAAAAATGCAAGAGAAAACTAATTACATGGTAAATATTCAGATTTTATCACCTTTTATTCATAATGTTCTAGCCATACATGGAAAAAAGAGAGGTTAGCACATTTTTTTCTTTGTAATTTTAAATAATTGTTCCTTATATCTTTTTGAACTACATCATAAAAGAACAAATAATTCTAGAGTGAGTCAAAAGTACCAGTGCACCTTGTACAGGTAAGAAATTGCAACTGTTCCCATAGATATATAGCATCATTAGAATAAATTTTGGAAATAACTCACAGCTTTATTATCATGTCCCACATGTTATATCTTCTTACAAAATCATCAATTTGCTTGACCACCCAGAATAATGACTGCATTTCCTAGACTTCTTGCAGCTGGGTATGATTAGCTGACCTAAGTCTTGGCCAATGCAATATAAACAGAAGTCATTACATGATAAATTTTAGCATATATACACAGGAACTATTTTTCCCCCAGTGGAATAGTCTCAGGCACACATGTATTTGAAAATTCTATTCACTTAAGTTTTTTAAAAAGCAAATGAGATAAAATTCATTTGGTCAGCACTCAAGCTTCAACCATATGTTAGGGGTTGTGTCAGGTCCCAGGAATACAGGATTGAACAAATTATAGTCCCAGCCTTCAAGGAGCTCACAGTCCAAAGGAAATCTAGTGAAATGCTATAGCAGGCATGGCTATGCCTCTCTCTATCAACACAGAGAGAACATGCCAGTTAGCCAGGAAACTCAAACTCAAGAAAGTTGACAAACTTAATGTAAGTTTACAAAGTAATTTTTTTTAATATAGCATCTAAAATTCCGTTATGAGCATTTTAAATATCATTTCATTAAAAAAAGGAGTCCTAATGATACTGTAGTAGGTGGAGGTAAGACGTGACAGAAGGAACACAAGTAAACTATTAACTTTTAAAATATTTTTTCTGTTTTATAGATTTTTTTCATTGGTTATATCCTTATCTGCTCTGTGATGTCCAACTCTTTGTGAGCCCGTGGACTCTTGCCAGCCAGGCTCCTCTGTCCATGCGGTTCTCCAGGCAAGAACACTGGAGTGGGTTGCTATTCCCTTCTCCAGGGAATCTTCCCGACCCAGGGATTGAACCTGGGTCTCCTACATTGCAGACTGATTCTTTATCATCTGAGCCACCAGTGAAGCCCAACTATATAACCAGAAAAAAATAATTTAAGAACCCAACATTTAAACATTATATATTTTTAATGTAGCAGTGTAACTTTTTTAATTTAGCAACATGGTTTTCATGAGATTTCTGGAATCTTAACTTTACCTTAAACTCAGACTCATTAACATATTGCATATTTTATACATATCTTTTTTTCTTTTTTTTATTGAAGGATAATTGCTTTACAGAATTTTGCTGTTTTCTGTCAAACCCCAACATGAATCAGCCATAGGTATACATACATCCCCTCCCTTTTGAACCTCCCTCCCACCTCCCTCCCTGTCCCACCCCTCTAGGTTGATACACAGCCCCTGTTTGAGTTTCCTGAGCCACACAGCAAATTCCCGTTGGCTATCTATTTCACATATGGTAATGTAAGTAATGATTTATTTTAAATTCAGTTTTATTTAATGTAAATATATGATATTCTTCATAGTGTTTCACGGTTGTTCCAGTGTAGATATTGCCTGGCATTATAATTCAAAGCAGACTCTAGTTTCACTCATTGGTTATAACAGATTAGAAGGAGGAAAACAGTAGAGGTGACCCTGGAACAAGGTGGGGTTAGAGGCATCAACCCCCACACAGTAAAAAAAAAGGTCTAAGGTCTATGTATAAGTTTATAGTCAGTTGGCCTTCCTCCCTGTCTGTGGTTCAGCATCCAAGGATTCAACCAACCATGGCTCATGTAATACTATAGTACCTATTAAATGAAAAAAAAAAAAACCCACATATAAGTGGACCTGCATGGTTCAAGCCTGTGTTCAAGGGTCAGCTATATGCACAATTCTTGTTAACATGGTACCTGTTCAGTATCGCATTTCTCACTAATCTGAAGTGTAATCATTTTCTTTTGACCTAAAGTTGTTCAAACTCATTTCTCTTTTTCATAAAGTGCTCTCTCCAAGGTGATTCAGTAATCCAGGACTTCTTGCTGATATCATTCACACACTGTACTATAACTGTTATATTCTCTCTCAGTCAGTTTTCCAAGAAAATGAAGTCTTTAAATTTTTTTTTTTTCCTTACAGACTTTGCCTTCAAAAGAAACAAGGTTTTTAAATACCACACAGATGCCTTGCCTGCAGTCAGCTTCAATTTGGAGTAGCTGTGAACACAATTCAAAGTCTGAAATGTTAACGGAACATGTATCAGAGTTAGATTCTTCTTTCCATTCTGTTCTATCATTGCCATCAGGTAAACCTCCTTATAAATTAATTAACAAATTAATTAATGTCTTTGCAAGTTGATTTTTTAATTCCTTGGAAACCATTTTTACTCACTTTGCAAAGTACTTAGCTTTTGATCCCCCTTTGAGTGTTAAATTTTTAGCATTTTATTGATAATATGGCTATACTATTGAAATGTTTCTCAGTAAGTCAGGGTTCTTTTTCTAATGTGTTTTTTTTTCTCATGGAGTTTTCCCACCATATAGTATTCCCCCATCTATAATCAGCATTGAAATTCAGAGAAGAAAATTGTCCCTCTTTAGACGTACTCAACTTTTGAACCTCAAAGATACCAGTAATCTACCATGGAGCAGATGAGGCATTAAATCCCTATGTTCCCTAACATGGCTTTAAGTTTCTCTCCAGTTCCTGTTTTCTGTTTGAATGTTTCCAGTCTTATGTACATTGAAACGGAAGTAAATATTTAGGATAAAAAAAGAAAACATTATTCATACTGGTTATCTCAAGTTCATCTTTTTTGGGAAGATATCTCAAATGAGCTTTTGTTTCCTTTTCAGCTTTTGGTTCTAATCATCCAGGGACTTCTCCTCTTTGTAAAGCACCATTTCTTGTACCTGTTCTGAAGCTTAGTTTGGTTTTTACCAATATTACAGTGGTTTCTTAGCTATACCATACATTGAAGTAAGCTCCTGGTAGGAGCTGTTTTACTGTATCTTTGAGGAAACCTTAATAATAGAAAAAATAAAATTTATGACAATAATAACACAGCCAACATTTGATCTTAGAATATACTGGATCCTATAAGCACATTACATTTTCCTCTAATTCTTGCAACAACCCCATGAGAATGATTGTTGTCTTCTTTATCTTACATATAAGAACATTGAAGCTTAGAGATGTTAAATTACTCATCCAAGAGTACAGAGCTAGTAAATGATGGAGACAGGATTTGACCTGAAGTCATTCTCCAGAGCCATACTCCTAACCATACTCTTTACTGCCTCTCTGTTTTCTTATTAGTAAATTTGTTTCTGATGAAAAAACCTGAGATCTGGCATAAGTATGTTTCATCCTACTAATGTTACATCTAATAAATTAAGATTAGCTTTCTTGCCTACTAGTTAGGGTTATCTGTTTCTTCTTGTGTTCATTTAATAAAAATCTGAATACCTGCTGTATACTAGGTATGATAGGAAAATAAATACAAATAAATCCCTCAAGGTACTTGCATTCCAATTTGACAACTGAAATATAAACTATTAAGTGGAATAAAGTGTTATGAAATTGTAATAAAAGCTCACAGGTTACAGGGTGGGTTCTAAGGAAGGTATATGAGTAAAACAAGCACCTTCCCTACTTATGTCAGGTTTTCCAACAACTAAAGAACAGTGGTAGAATAGGTGATGCTCTATATAAATAGGTGATATTTCTTTGGAGAAACTTGTTTTGGTAATTGGAAATATCAGAATCCTGAAATGTTTACACAGTATATTTAATTTGTATTCTTATTTTCATTTTGTTATGTAGTTTTCTTATGGTCTTAGTATAGTGATAGCATTGAAAGCTATCTTACCTCTGCCCCATGGGAAAGTTTCCAAGATGATACTTACAAACCCATTTTTGTGTGCATATTTTTCCACACTTGAGTATGGATCTGCTATTAAAATACATTATTTTGTTGGAAAACTACTTCTTTGTTTAAAATTGAGACTTTTTCTGGATCTATGTTAATTTATGCATTCATAATTAGTTTTCTAAAAAATATCTTCAGTAGCAAAACTTTAAATAAATCAACCACTTTATAAAATATTTCTTTATGTTTCTTAGGAAAAAGTTTAGGTATCTCTATTGAATGCTTTTTAAGATGATTGTTTTTGCATTCTTGATTGAAGAAAGTACACTTTAGTTAATAAATGTGAAGCACATCTATTTTATTTACTTAGCTTCTCTTTTGGTTGTGAGAGTATGGAATATAAACATAGTGAATTAAACAACTCTCCTAAGTCTCTACTTAAAAGAAGAGAACTAGTTTGTCAGTATGTTTTGATTTTTATAAAAGTAGATTTAATTTTGTGATTCATAACAGTAGTAAACTAAGGGAATGTGAAATGACATTTTCATAAAAGGTTGCATCTGAATTATAGTATTTTTCCTTCAAGTAACTAAACTTGTATAATTATGTCTTTTGGAAACTTTATTATTTCAAATGCAGAGTTTGTAGGGGTGGGTGGAATGGACTTAGGTTTGACTATATTTTATTAAAGACCTTTTGGGAGCATTTGTTTCATCTGCAAGTAGTATTTAATGTTTATAATTTTGTTCACTTTATGTACTATTTTAGTTTACGAAATTGTTCATTGTTAGTGTTTATTTAGTATGCATAATCAGTAATTTCCAAAATATTGCTTACACTTGGAAAGAATATTTTGTCACTTCTAATAGTTATGATGTTTCATGCTTTTGCTTATTTTTCTAAATCTTAATATGGGATGGTATAAAGAGTGATATCACTTAAAATATTTTTGTTTGCTTTACTTTTCTAGATGTGCCTCTTCGTTTTCACTTTGAAACATTGTTAAAAAAAACTGAAATAAAAGGAGATCTTACTGAAAATAAATTTTTAGGAGACTGTATCATATCTCCATCACCTGGTATGTTACTTATAAATCTTGTACTTTATATAGTTTTTACATCTTTCATACACTTATTACTTTTGCTAAGGACATAAAATTAACAAAGGAATGAATGTAAATCCTTCATTTTTAATATTCACTTTTCACACATCACACACAAATAGAAAATACACAGCAGTAGTCCTAACAGGAAATGTACAATACTTATTGAATATTGAATGAGAATTATGAAATGTTATTGATAAATATAAAAGGAAATTTAAAAAACATGGGAAAACAGCACTACTGGATGGTAAGAATAATTAGGATATCAGTTCTTCCTATTGGTTTATGTTTGGTGCAAAGTAACTTGAAGTTCTAAAAGAATTTGGCTAACTTAAAATAATTGTAAAACCCATTGGAAGAATTAATGGGAAAATGTAAAAGGAATTGCTAGAAAAAATATTGAGAGAATCTAGCCCAACCACATATGAAAACATAACAGAAATCTATAAACATCAGCATAGCTTCTATTTTGCTTACGTTTAGCAAAGTAGATTCATGAGGCAGACTACATAGCTTATTCTTTATTATTTAAAGGAAGAATTGTAAATTGGTAAGAAAGTGGAGAACTATTCAATAAATACTATTGTTAGTCATTTTGAGGAAAATGTTTATACACTCATATCATGTATCAGTAAATTCTATTTGGTTAAATGAAACACTAAAGTTACAAAATAAAACTTGAAAAATTGTAATGAAACTCTTAATTGGGGATGGGGACATTGTGCTTGGAAGCAATCAGAAAAAGAAAGAAAATATACCTGCATATTTCTCCACATCAAAATGTTACACAAAACAAAATATTTCCAGATGAAATCATCATCTCCCTCAAAAACTCAGCAATCAACTGAATGTGAATACCTGTTAGAAGTGGAGTTTTGAAATGTAACAGATCTTTAAATAAACTTAAAAAACAAGTAGCCTTTATAAATACCAATAATAACCCATTAGAATTTGTAAAATAATAAATTATCCTAGACATATTGACAATGAAAATATAAAATATCTAGGATTAAACTTAACAAGGGATTACATGAAGGAAACTTGAAAAGTTTACAGAGGAACAGAAGAGTATATGTGCTTGTATGGAGAGAAATACTCTGTTCCTGTCAAAAGAAGTTGTAACTATAGGTGTCATTTTTCCTCAAATGAACTTACAATGTAATTCTAATCAGAATCCCAGAGGCGTTCTTCTTTAAGTAAATGTTGAATATCCAATAAAACTTTTAAAAGTTCTATAAGTGTCAGTCCATAAAGGACAGAAATGGTGATGGAATGCCAGTTGAGCTATTTCAAATCCTAAAGGATGATGCTGTGAAAGTGCTGCACTCAATATGCCAGCAAATTTGGAGAACTCAGCAGTGGCCACAGGACCGGAAAAGGTCAGTTTTCATTCCAATCCCAAAGAAAGGCAATGCCAAAGAATGCTCAAACTACCACACAATTGCACTCATCTCACATGCTAGTAAAGTAATGCTCAAAATTCTCCAGGCCAGGCTTCAGTGGTACGTGAACTGTGAACTTCCAGATGTTCAAGCTAGATTTAGAAAAGTTAGAGGAACCAGAGATCAAATTGCCAACATCTGTTGGATCATCGAAAAAGCAAGAGAATTTCAGAAAAACATCTATTTCTGCTTTATTGACTATGCCAAAGCCTTTGACTGTGTAGATCACAACAAGCTGTGGAAAATTCTGAAAGAGATGGGAATACCAGACCACCTGACATGTCTCCTGAGAAACCTAAACCTGTATGCAGGTCAGGAAGCAACAGTTAGAAGTGGACAATGAACAACATATTGGTTCCAAATCAGGAAAGGAGTACATCAAGGCTATATATTGTCACCCTGCTTATTTAACTTGTATGCAGAGTACATCATGAGAAACACTGGGCTGGATGAAACACAAGCTGGAATCAAGATTTCTGGGAGAAATATCAGTAACCTCAGATATGCAGATGACACCACCCTTATGGCAGAAAGTGAAGAAGAACTAAAGAGCCTCTTGATGAAAGTGAAAGAAGAGAGTGAAAAAGGTGGCTTAAAACTCCAACATTCAGAAAACTAAGATCATGGCATCTGGTCCCATCACTTCATGGCAAATAGATGGGGAAACAGTGGAAACAGTGACAGACTTTATTTTTTTGGGCTCCAAAATCACTGCAGATGGTGACTGCAGCCATGAAATTAAAAGATGCTTACTCCTTGGAAGAAAAGTTATGACCAACCTAGACAGCATTTTTAAAAGCAAAGATGTTACTTTGCCAACAAAGGTCCATCTAGTCAAGGCTATGGTTTTTCCACTTGGCATGTATGGATTGAGAGTTGGACTATAAAGAAAGCTCAGCGCAGAAGAATTGATGCTTTTGAAGTGTGGTGTTGTAGAAGAACTCTTGAGAGTCCCTTCGACTGCAAGGGGATCCAACCAGTCCATCCTAAAGGAGATCAGTCCTGAATATTCATTGGAAGGACTGATGCTGAAGCTGAAACTCCAATACTTTGACCACCTGATTCGAAGAACTGACTTAGTTGAAAAGACTCTGATGCTGCAGAAGATTGAAGGCAGGAGGAGAAGGGCATGACAGAGGATGAGATGGCTGGATGGCATCACCAACTCGATGGACATGAGTTTGAGCAAGCTCCAGGAGTTGGTGATGGACAGGGAAGCCTAGTGTGCTGCAGTACATTGGGTCGCAAAGAGTTGGACATGACTGAGTGACTGAACTGAACTGATAAGGTGTCAGATATCAAAATATAAAGGTATAATCATTAAAACATTGTAATGCTGTTAGAAGCCAAGGGAACTAAATAGAAAGCCTAGAGATAAGCCCAAGGATTTATTATATGAATGATATTTCCTATTAGTGTGGAAAAGATAGCCTAACTAATAAATAATAGTAAACAATTCTTATGAAGCATTCCTTATACACTAGTACAGTATTGGAGAGCTTTATATCTGTAATTTGCTTTAATCTGTACAACCCTATAAGGTTTCAGTACACACAGGCAAAGTTGTGTCTGACTCTTTTTGGCCCCATGGACTGTAGCCCACCAGGCTCCTCTGTCCATGGAGTTCTCCAGGCAAGAATACTGGAGTGGGTGACCATTCCCTACTCCAGGGGATCTTCCCAATGCAGGGATTGAACCCAGGTCTCCTGCATTGCAGGCGGATTCTTTACCATCTGAGCCACCAGGGAAGCCCTTTCACACACAGGCAAAGGAGCCACAGTGGACTGCTAAAACCTTTAAAATAATTTTCCCGCTCTTTTAATGCAAGATATAAAGAAGTTTCCTATCTTAACATCTTTTTTCTGTTGAAAGAAATCTGATTTAACAGTTTTTGATGTAAAAAATCTATCATTCTGTCTTAAGATGATTGTTCAAGCTGGTGGCCTTCCCATGAAGTATAAAAGTGATTTGTTTAGACAAAAATGAAGTTAAGGTGGCTGTGAGCTCAAATGTTCTATATACATTTGTTTAGCTCTGTTAAAGCATTTTTTAAACTGTTCTGCATAGTATGTCAGGCTATCGGCTATTTTCTGCTTGACTAACGTTTCCCAAGTTGCAGTTAAGATGTAGTAGATGCAGGATTCAAATCCAAGTAGTCTTGCTCAGAGCCCACTTTTAAAATGACTTTTTTTTTCTGTAATCAGAGGTATTAAGGAATGACTGTTTGGTAAAATAACATGAGATCTTTATTTTCATATAGCACCAAAAAACAAATTTAAGGTGGATGAACATTAAAATACATTCCAGATAGATTAAAAAGGTAAATATTAAAAGTGGTATTTTAAAAGAATTAGAAGAAAAACTAGATGTATTCAATGATAATAATGAAAATGCTAATTGGTCAAAAGGGAGGGTATATATATATACCTATGGCTGATTCATGTTGAGGTTTGACAGAAAACAGCAAAATTCTGTAAAGCAATTATCCTTCAATTTAAAAATAAGTAAATTTTTAAAAATTATAGTTAACATGTACTGACTATGTGACAGACACTGTGCTAAATGTTTCTCCTTTTTTCAATTACATTAATAATATTAGACATTATAATCATCAGTTCTGGCAAAACTGTGTAGCAAAAATAGTACCCTCAAATATTTCAGGTATAATTAATTGATACAAGCCTTTTGGGAAGTACTGTGAAATGCATTTGTTATAGCCTTGGCGCTAGTGGTAAAGAACCCACCTGAGAGATGCTGGTTTGATCCCTGAGAGGGGAAGATCCCCTGAAATGCATTATAAGGCCTTTAAATGATTAATTTTTTTAATCTCATTAAGAAAAAAAACTTCTGTACTTGTTCACAATAAATGTTTACTAAACTGTTAACTCTGTTCTGACCTGATAAATCCAAGAACCCAATCTAATCCTAAATATGAAACCACCTTTATTCACAGATACACTTAACATTATTTGTGGTAATGAAAAATTAAAAACAACTTGGAGAACAGTAGGAATATGGTTATCTGTCTAGCCCAATGGAATATACATTTTTAAAAACATTGTAAAAGTTTATCTAAGGATATAAACATTTATCCAAGAATGGTGAGTGATATAAAAAGACAAAAGTTTTACTTCTATGTATGATACAACGGGGACTTTCCAGGGAGCTCCGTGGTAAAGAATCTACCTGCCAATGAAGGAGACACAGATTCAGTCCCAGGTCTGGGAAGGGGCCCTCAAGAAGGAAATGGCAACCCCCTCCACTGTTGTTGCCTGGGAAACCCCATAGACAGAGTAGCCTGGTGGGCTGCAGTCCATGGGGTCACAGAGTTGGACATGACTTGATTTAGGGACTGAAAAAAAAACAAATGATAGTTATATCCATGTAAAAATATTTATACTTGCATCAGCCACATGCAGCCTGTAGGCCTCTTAAGAAATCCTCATTAACAACTCAGCTGTATGCACACACAGATACATAGTTTCTAAGACAAGAAGTTTGAATATGGACTTACTGTTGCATATTAATAAA